ACATTTATTCTTCCTGAAATATATAACAAACCAAGCAATACCAGATGAACTAAACCAAAACCTTTGCAGGAGATTTATCTATTCTTTTGGCAAGCTGTTTACTTTTCCATGAGAGAATCTGGGATAGATCTCCCTGTGGAGCCCTAAAGTTGCTGTAAATTCAGTTGTATTAAATGTCATTTTAGAGATGGTGTTTACACCCTCGATGAGTTTGTGTCATTGTTTTAAAGATAAACTTCTACTTTGTGGTAATAAACTTCTCTCTGTGTGATGTATTATTCAAGGATAAGCCAGCAGAGTTGAAGCTGATGGATGTTTTCTTTTTCTTTTTTTTTTTTTCTTCTTCTGAAGCTCAGTGTTTTCAGTGCTGTACTGTTGGAAATAAGGCATAAAATGAGATTAGTTCCAAGTCGGTTTTGTGCTGTTTGTGAGGCTAATTCTGTTTCCAGAATTTCCTTGAGTACTACAACTTCCTATTGACTTCAGTGCTATCTCAGGTAGTCCATTTCTCCAAGGTCCCATGTGACAGAATATGGTTCTGGATCTTGCAGCGATGTACTGGCACCACTTCACTTCATAAGTGAATATCTTTTCTGTTGCATATAGAAGCTTAGGAGAGAATTAAGATGACTTTCTATTTCAGCTGTGCTTCTGGACACTGGTCTCCTCTGGAAGCCAGATTGTCATCAGGGCAATTCAGAAAGACTGCCCAAACAGCTACAACTATGTGATCTCCCCAGTTCTGTGTATTTATGTCTACTCCCATGCACTAATTTTTGTCTTTAGCTATACAATTTAAGATGTATTTGTCTTTTTAAACATCTGTCTTTGCAGTCCACAGTGCTACAATTCTACACTAGCCTACGTATTGTGCTAAAATGCACAATGCACTGTATACTGTGCTAAAATGCATTGAGTCTCCTGTACCAACCCAGTTTGACAGCTAGTACAGTCCACATGAACTAATTTAAGGTAAACTGATGGATCTTCATGCTCAGTTTCTATGCTAGGAGAAGCTTTTCCCCAGCAAGCCTCTGGGACGTAAAAGGTCATTTACCTGGAATTCAGAGAATAAAGTCTCACCAAGTCAGTCACTGACATAATTCTAAATTACATCTGGGCATATATATCTGCAGATTTTGTTTTTCCCATTTTCTGGGCAGAGAAAAATAAGGCTTCATTTCAGCCACCGTTTTACAGGTCTTAGAACCAAATGGTCTTTTCACTAGGCCATGTACGAGATTCCAGCTTGAGCCTGCTGGGTCCTTTATTAAAACTTGAGCTAGGGAGAGAAAGAAAATGTAGTCAGTTTTCTAGTCAAAAATCAGTAACAGTTTCAAGCCTCTTATTTTTCCATTAGATGGTTCCAAAAGTTTAAATAAAAACAGATTTTTTAAAAAGCACAGTGTTGGACAGTGCTTTTTGTCCTTCTAACACTTTGCAGGCTTGGAGTCCTCTCTGCTGTCAGGTTGTTTATCACCAGAGTGATGCCACTCACCTCAAAAGAGTTTAGCCTGCTTTCATCAGGATCCATGATGATCACAATCAAAGCTGTGGGCTGATTAATCAGCACAGAGGTGCCAGTTAAGTCCCATCACCTTTCACTCTCAGTCTTCTTTTCAAAACAGTCAGGTGCCATCCTGATCTGAATTATTCCTGTTCTAGGTAAAGAGGAAAGTTGAATATGTATGCGAGAGACTTCACTGGCATCTCCCTTGATGTCAATATTCTTATAAACCTCCTTCTGGCAAGCCACTTAAGCCTGGATTTATCCTACTAATTTGAGGTTCATGTGAGTTATCTTCAGTAGTTACACTTGTGCAGCTCATAGACAAAAATTACGTGGGTATGCTCCCAGGACTTTGCACAGCAAGTCCCAGAGTTGTCTTCCCTGAGCAAGCCTGAGCAATGGCCATGTGATGGGTTCATTTCCCTGTGGATTAGAACTGGAGCCATCACTGACTTTTGTGTGTTAGGAGCTGCAAAGCTTCCATACATCTCTCTCTTCTTTGATGCTTTGATGTGAGCTCATGTTTCAGCCTTTCTCCCAGTCGTGGTGAAAATGTATTTTCTAATCACTTTTCAGCTGTTAATTTACATAAATTAGGATTTAGATCTCCTGAATTCTTCTTTTCCTTTGGAAAACTTCTTTGAAATTGCATAGAACGTATTGCAGCTGGGACCCAGGCAGATGCTCAGGTGGTGTAATCTTACAATTTTTTTACTAAAGATATTGTAACTTCTTTTGGTTTCTGTGATATTTTATTTAGAGGCAATTTAGCTCCTCTGAATTAATAATGTTCACTATTATTCTGAGGAATAATGTTTCTATATGTCTTCTTTTTTTTCTTTACCACCCTATTACATTTCTTCTGTCAGGTTTGGACCACATCTCTGTGTCCTAGTTATTCCCCTGTGGTAATGCATTGAAGTAAAAACACCAGAACCAGGAATAATGTTTTGACCATACACAGTTTCAGATGGATAACTTGATAAGAGATCTTCCTCATGGGTTTATTTTGGGTATACTGAAGCACAGTAATGCCCAACAGCTTGAAAATGTTTTCATAGTTATATAATGCAAAATAAGACTTCAAACGTGAATTTTATATTCCACTAAATTGGGTCATTGTTGATTTTAAAGCATATTAGATCATCGACAAATAGGAGGCCTTTAGAGCATCAGGCTGTTTAGGAATAAGTGGTGGACAGTTTTGGAGAACTTCTTGCTCCTTGGCGTGTTTTTATGGTAATTCAAATATTGGAGATAATTTACAACCCTGCTGGTACTATACCAGAGACTTTATGGGATCAAATTCATCTCACTTTTCCTTTTAGACATTTAAACCACATGTCATTCTAGAAAAACGAGGACAGAGGTCCAACAAAGGAGTGATTTATTTTCAGTTAAAATACTAGCTACATTAAAACCACATGTTATTAAGTACCGTATAACTAAACCATGCTCAGAAGGCAGCTTACGACACCAAAGCTTGCTTAGACTGTTCCTTTTTAGTTTTTTCCCAAAAAACTTTGACAGTGCATGCATTAACAGACTTTACCTGAGCTGCACAGTACACTGACTATAATTCTTCCTTGATGAAACAACTTATTAAAGTACCAGAGTACAAGTTAATTCAGTTCCATATTCTTTTTTCTCACATTTCTGAGTGGCTGAACTTTTCTGTCTGTTTTAGGTAACATTATATCTTTGTGAATATCCTTCCTGAAATACCATAATACAATTAAAGTGGTTAGGACTGAAATAGTTTTTCAAAGTGAAACAATTTGCATTTTGGGCATTTTACCAATATGAACTCTGATAACACTCTTGTGAGAAGAGTGAACTTATGCACAGAAGTAGTGCACATAAATCCAAGACCATAAGGGAAATCAATACAAAGATAAGAATTAAGAGGCCCCAGTTTTGTTTTCAGGATGCAGATGCTGAGGATCAGTTTCTATCCTCATTATGCTGCACTTCCACACCAGATTGCCTAGGACTTGAAGGGATTTTTTAATGCTAATGTCAGGTGAGTTGTCCAAAGCTTGGACAGCGATGACCAGTGAAGGATTCATCTTGTACACAGGACGTTGACAGTTGCACCAAGCTTTTCTGCTGGTTCAGTGCATGTGTGTCTGGATGATACTGGACACAGAGAGAGTGTTTAAGGGACTTGAAACATAGCTGGCTCACCTCTGTACTCCTGGGGAATGTCAGATACCAAAGTCCTGTCAAGATATACAGATATCAAATGGGGAAGTGAAAATGTTGCCTCACTGTTCGTATTCTATTCAACGTGCAACTTGCATGGACTAGGAAGCCTGTCCCTGGGCATTCTAAGAACTATGCAAAAATTCACAAATCACCCCAACACCCCTGCCTCACAGGTAATCACTGGATGATTTTAGCCTTAAAAGAGAACTAGCCAGTTGCTGTCAAACAGTCTTTAAACAAAACAGGGATCAGAAACAGCAAATTTCCATGCTTGTATGCTTGAGATCATTCTAATTCAGATCTTACAGTCACATCATGAAATCATTAATACACCCATAAGGTTGCCTGGCATTCTCATTTCTCCTAAAATTGCTTAGCTCAAGCAGATCCTGAAGTATTGATTACGCATCAGCAACAAATTTTACTAAAATTTGTAGCAGCTTTAAAGAAAAAAGGTACAACTTGTGTCTTTTCTCAGCCCTTGGCTGCCTAATTGAAATGTAAGTATATGTAGTAGACAGTATAATATACTTGACAATAGAAATTCTACTGAGTTAAAGCTGTCTAGTTGGCTACCTTGTCTTGGATGGAGAGCAGTATCAAGTAGTGCAGGAGATGGTGCAAGAAACCACACATTGGGCAAAAAAGGACCATGTGGCAGACATGACATGTGCCATGTCTAAATCATTAAATGTTCATTATATTTTAGTATCATATTAATTAAGCGTGCCCCAAATTATTATTGAATCACCTCCTCACTAAGCCCTTGTGCTGTACCTTTTATTTTATTTGTTTTTTCCTCTGGCCTGGTAGGCACATCTGTTGTCACAGCTGAGATCACTGCCTCACTGCAGGAGAGGGTATGTGAACTCATGGTAGGAACTACAAGGCAGCTGTACTCTTGATGTCTCTTTTGCCTTTTCTGAAGCACTAGAAAGCTGCTGCTGCCACCCGCAATGACAGAATATTGTGGGGCACAGTGTGTCTGCAATTGCTGAGTTAAATTGATAGGAGAAGCCCTGTTTGTGCTTCTGCCCTTTGGTGGCAAGGTTATATCTCCAGGCATCTTATTTACCAGTTCTGGATTATTGTCCAGAAATCATTGTCTCCATTGGTTTTCTTTCCTAAACGTAGTGGATGTGATTGTACATTTTCATTGATTATAATTCTGGTTCTCTTCACATGGGTCTTGGAGCCTTCTTCCTTTTTCTTAGTTTAGATTATCATCTGTCTTTTCTTCATATTGCATCACCCAACTGACTTATCTTCTCCCTTTCTCTAGATGTTTCCAGATGTGTGGCTGAACGGAAGTACACCCAGGAGCAAGCTCGCAAGGAATTTCAACAAGTCTTTATCCCAGAGTGCAATGATGATGGCACATACAGTCAGGTTGAAATTTTTTCATTCAGCATCATGCATGGCTGGAAAGTCAGAATGTGTATATTTTCAGAGGATGAAGAAGAGACAGATGTAATGAAGGGAAATGTATTTCAAGATGAAATGTAATTTATGCTAAGACTGACGTTAAAATATGGAAGGAAATTTTGTGCCAAGTCCTTGTTCTTTTTTTCAGTTAGCCAGCAAAAGAGCCAAACATTATTGTTGTTCATGGGATACACTCCCTGTTCTTCTAGGCTGAAGCAGCTGAGTCATTCTTGTAGCCTCCTGAATACTCGTCAGATGGTAAAATGCTTGGAATTTCTGTGCTGTTCCTGATTTGAGCTATAAATCTTGTGACCAGAGTCCATATCTTAGTGCTAAAGCATGAATGATACAGGATTCTTCCCTATTCTCAGCTGAATGTCTATGCAAGTTTATGGTCTGAGATTAATTTACTTATGTTAGGTCATGGAATTCAGAAGGGACACAGTTATAAGCTTATCTGTTCATATATATTCCAATCAAGATCACCTTCTGCTACCTCTGTACTGCAATTCAGTTGCAAACTTGTGCAGAAGACAATCCATCTCATTTTAAGCATGGTGAGGGAAGTGATATTGGCCCTGAGGAAATATAACACAATTGATTTCTGAGAGGAATTCCAAGAGCTTCCTTTCTGACAGCTTGGGATATGAATAATGCTGGCAAAAGAACTCTGTCCTGCTCCTTCAGTGGGTAGAACAATATGTTCTCTATGTGGAAAAAAAACTTGGGATTGCTTGCTTCAGGAACAGTTTATATGTCCCTTAAGAAACTTTATAGTGAGGGTTTCATAACACCTGCACCTCACTCTTCTGAAGTAGGATGTAAACAATCACATATTTCAATAGTTTTTCCCTTCATTGGATTCTGAAGGACATACCACACTTTGTGTAAAATAAACTCTTCTTTTTGCTAAAGAATCATATTTAGGACTGAGATTAGGTCTATTATGGTTTATTGTTTTGGCTTTTGTCAATATAATTTGATGGACTAATCTTTTGTACTCGTGTCATGAACTCTGTGGAATAACAGACAAACTGGACATGGTTCATGGTGTTTCTGACAGGTTCAGTGCCATAGTTACACTGGATACTGCTGGTGTGTCACCCCCAATGGTCGTCCTATCAGTGGTACTGCTGTGGCCCACAAAATTCCCCGGTGCCCAGGTAAGACTTGTTTGGCTGGCCAGGTCGTGACATTGTCTCACGAATAGCAGAGTTTATCTGTGACATCCAATTAGACTTAAGAAAACAAAATATTTACTGCAAGAATAGTTCAGCCCAGAAACAGGTGCTGGTGGAAGCTGTGGATGCCCCATCCTTGAGACTTTGCAAAACTCAGCTGGACAAAACTCTAAGAAAGTGGGCCTAGCTTTTAAGCTAGCTCTGCATGAGGTCTGAAGTCACTGCCACCCTAACTCTCCCTGTGATTCTATGATCCATCTACTTTATTTGTACTATAATCTAGCTATTGAAGGACTTTTCTGCAGGGGTTCCTTGTATGATATTTATGTGTCAATATATGAAATCATGCAGCTGACTTGCTAAGGTAGTCCTTTCTCTATGTTGAAACTGTCTTGCACATAAATTAATTGCAAAAAAATTAAGTATTCAGAGTATAAAAAATATAAATCCACACCTCCAAAAAAATATGCAGTACCAAGGTCCTGATTTGTAACATAGCCCAATGAAAGAACTCCCACAGCAAATTCCATGAATGACCAAACTCAGAGGAGAAATAAAAATGAAACAAAGCATTAAGAACATAATGGAATAATTGTCCGTGGAAATTAACTGGCAGTCAGACTCATTGCTGTGTGTGTACTGCCTTTTGTCTTTCATCAGGACAATTAACAGGTTCACTTTTTTTTTAGGAATTTGCTTGTGATCCTATTTCATTGCCACTGATAATAAATATAAATCCCCAGTGTATGAACATTTGCCAGAATTGCTATTCGCCTTCCCTGAGGCTGACAGAATTGCACAAAAATACTTGAGCTCTACTGATTGTATTTCTGTTTGTGTTGCAGCACCATTCTTTGCCAGAGAGCAGAAAAAATAGCTTTAAAAAACTAACCCTGTGATGTAAATGAAGCTTAAAATAAAAAAGTGATTAGAGCTTTTGAGGGAATTCACCTGGTCTGAACTACTTCAATCACACAAGCACAATATTGATGCTTTTAACAGATAGATAGAGGAAGGAATGGACCATTGAGAATGTTTCAATAGAGATTATAGAAAAAAACATAAAAATTTTTCTACTTTGAAAGTCTGTCTTGTTTAAATGATTTGCAGGATCTTCAAAGCATATTGCCTGTAGCTGAACTTTATACAGAAAGAAGGCTTTTCAGACTAATAATTTTGATCCAGTCTGAAAAGTCACTGTAGAAAGACAGTCAATTGTGAAAAATAACATAAAAAGTTCAGAAGCCTTAAAATAGAGAAAAAAATATTAATTTTGGTGTAATCATTGTTTATAACTGGATCACACCTTCAGAAGTCATGTGGTTAGGATAGTATTTTTGTGCTACTTTTTGAATAGAAGTGGTTTTGTATGTCCATAGCCAGGATTTCTCTGAAATTGTGCTTTCATTGCTTTCTCTGCAATATTAATATATAGATTCCTGCCTTTCACTGACATCAGTGAAAAAGGGGTTGTGCTGATGCTGAAAGTCCAACAAGTAATTTTTTGGCATATGTGTCACAAGACATGGCTTTATTTTTAGCTCAAAATGTTGCTTAATTAGTGTATTTTCACTCTTCATATTTGGCACTACTGAGGAGAAGCTGCAGTGTAGTTCCAGGTTAATTAATAGATTAGTATAAGAATTATTCTATCTCTAGAGGAATCAAGCCCTAGTTTGTCTCAAAGGTGTATTCATTTGCCTAGCAGATAAACTGCCAGGCTGCTTCAGCTCATTTTTGGAGGTCTGGGAAAGGAAGTTACTTTTACAGAAATGCTAAGGAAAGGATGATATTAGCACTTGATTTTAATTTAGTAACTCAGAGATAAATAGACTGCTCCAGAGCTCAGGTGAGTATGCAGAGCCTGATTTTGAATGTTCCAATTGTTATAAGACCCTTTGAGGTTATCTCTCTACTTTTTCTCCCCTGCTTGTATCAGTGCTCTCCTGTTTTACTGCTCACCATTTCTTTGTCCCTGAGGAAAGTGGTCAAGCTAGAGCAGTTTGGAAATACATTTGAAATGCTAGGAGACTTTGCAGTGGTAGTGGCCAAGGGCTTAGTCTTAAAAGATATGGGAGAAACCTTCTCATTCAGCAGAGAAGGCAGCTACAGATTTTCTCAGAAATTTATGTGATATAATAAAGCAAAACTTTGCTCTTATATTGCAGAATGAAAGCCTGAAGCACAATTACACCTTTGTCCCATTTCCCAGTATATATTCAAAATTTCTGTCCCCTTAGGACAACATGTTTTTCCCCCTAGAAGGACTGTTGAGATTTTCCATATCACCAGTGATGCCCTTTTGTACTTTTTCTTTAGTAGGCTCTGCATGGGAATTACATTCAAAATATTAGTGGGTGTATTGAAATTGAGTAAATGTATTCCTGTTTTAACTACTATTTCAGGGGTGCCATTTCTTCCAACACTGTTGCCCCACTCACCCTAATACACTGCATCATTGCTTGCTTTGCTGCAGGCATTGCCTTGATATTTTTTTGATACTAAAGGCATATCTCTGTTAGCGGTGGCATCCTGACACAGACATTTTTCTGTATTTTCACTTGCTTCTGTGTGTTCTGCAGGCATGATGCTATAGCTATTTCAAAGACATTTATGCTCATTTCTCAGTTTGCAGGTACCAGACTTTTTTCTCCCAGAACCATTTTTGCAACGTTTTCCCTTTAGAGAAGAATGCATACAGAAAATCAAGATAGAGCAAGTTGTGAGCATGCTTTTATACATCATAGAAAATGTCATACCATGGAATATGTGAAAATTTCTCCTTTTAACGAATGTTCAGTATTTATTTTCAATTCTGTATTAGCTCTTCAGTAACTTCAGATAATGTTTGAATACTTGTCTAATCCTTTGTACTGCTCCTAAATTATGGGATAATTTCTTACCTTTTATTTGCTACGAGTAGAACCACCTTTGACTTTGGTGAATATCCAGAAATAGGAAAGAAGAGCATGGCAGCTTGGAAGAACTGGGATTTTAACAGTGGAAATATGGAGCAGAATTTAGGATGGGCAGTTAGGAGTTTGATTTCCTGATTCCATCCCCTGTCCATGTTTCACATTTACTGTGTGATATGGGATAGGTGAAACAACCTCTAAGTTTAGATAAACTGTTAATATTAGTTAGCTGCATAATGTGATGCTTCCTAAAGTTATCTCAGGTCCTCAGATGGAAAAGTGCCATATGTCTATTTGTTATGCATCTGTAATAGCTGTATGAGCCATTTTTTGCTTGTTGTGTTCCTCTGGTTGCTCCTATTGAAGTTGTCTTTTTTGCTAGAGATACAAGGTGTGGAAGCATGAAAGTTATAAGCAGCATTTAAAAAAGCAGGACTTTCCAACTGATTTATGTAAAACCTTTGCTTTAATTACTGTATCTTTACCTGAAAGAGGCTGTTCTCCCATCCTTTCCTGTTGTTCCCACACCAACACTTGGTACTGTTAAAATACACATGATAAATCTCAGGATGCCATTCCACTTCATAGAAAAAATCTCAACTGTTGCAGGATCAGTGGTGGAGAGTAAATCAAACACATTCCCCTGACAGCATTAAAAAGCAAGCTCCTTCAAAATGATGAATGTCCCCTAATACTTTCACTAAAGAACAGCAGACATAAAAAAAGACATTTTTACAACTCCCCATCTCTGTTATCAGCACTGCAGGGAAATGCAGAAATTCTGTAGTCATGGTGTCCTGGGAAATGGGGCAGAAATCGAGAAGCAGGTGTTAAATTATCATTGGAAAATACAGTTTTCACCTATTCTAGGGGTTTTATGCCTTATTAACTATTCCAGGCTTCTGCAACAGAGACTGTAGAGGTATGGAGATGTGTTTTATTATTCTGTGAGGCAGTTTTGCTACCTTACAATTAAGAAGTCACGATCATCTTTTAAGGCCAAAATACAAATACATTTAAAAATTCAGAACTCTTCTTGTCTGTATAGTATTATCATCAGATAATATGTGAAAACAAACACATTTGGGAAAGCAATGAGCTTTAAAAAAGACAGTCTATTGCTTTTTTTAGCTGGGAAAAATATCCATCCGTCCTCCTTGCCCTCTCCCATTCCATAAGGATATGTGGCATTTAGGTCGCTTACAATGCACTGAAAACTTGGAAATTAACTGTATTGCCTAACTTTTAGATAAGCTATAAATGACTCTTTCTGTTTCTTACCTCGCTGAAAATGTGAGCATTTATTGTGAGTATTGAAGATGCAATTTCCTAGGAACTTGCAAAAGCAACTTCCTATTACCATTTAAGCTAGCACTACTTTTACTGTAAATATATTCAGAAAACCACAGGAAAAAAATGACATAAGTACAATAACCTCTCCTCACTTTCAGCTTGGAGACAAGAAGAAAAGTTTCTACTGTATAAATAGAAATTTTCAAGTGAAACTATATGAAGGGCTGAGATTTCCTTTAGGAAATTCTGTGAATATTTTTGTTAGCTTCATAAGACTATTAAAAAAATGAATGTTTGCCCACTGAATCTAATTTGCCTAGTAGTCATCTAATTTCATAGTGAAATCTGATTCAGTGTAGTGAAGTTAGGCTCTGTGAATGCCACTCCCTTCCTCCATCCATCAATTTTCTATCAAAATTTTGTGAAAAAAAGCAGCTAAGCATAGAAAAAAAGAATTCAGTTCCCTCTGACTGTACATGAATATCATATATTAATTTCATAATTAATATCAATTTTTTATTGCCATTTCACATAGAGTAACCTAAAGGTATCCTGGTATTAATGAAATCTGGAAAGATTGTTCTGCTTTTGGGTTAAGTTGTGGAACATTATATACATTTCAACAATGTGTTAAATGACTTTGCTTAAACCAAATTTTACATTCAATTTATAATAGTGCTTCTGAATGTACATAAACAACATAGGTTGAACTGAGGCTTTACTTAACGCTTTTTGGTACAAAGGGGCCATCAGTGCCAGTACATCGTACACATCCCCTATGCTGAGACATCTTTTCTACTCACAAATTGCTGTAAAACGCTTTAGTATGGATAAGAGTCAGATCTAAAGTCTCTGTATTTGCAAGAAGATTATAATTATATGCCTGTGCATCAAAATTAAATTGAGAAAATACATAGTAACTGAATTGAGGAAAGATTGGATCACTGGTATTTAGTGCAACTGGAAAAACCTGTAATTTTTTGTGGAGTACTTCATAAAACTGGAAAATCTTACTTGAGTTTAAGCTGAGACTCTTATCAAATTCAAACCAAGCACTAAAAAGCTCAGATCTTCTAGCTTCAGCTAGCATAAATGCAAGAATCTGCCTCCTCTTCAGATTGAACAACATGAGTTAATGTTGCAGTCTTTTTAGGGCAAGCTGTCCCAAGCACCCCTGGATGTATTTCCTACAGTGATAATGACTTTACTTTTCCTGTCTGAATTAATGCAATAAAAATACACTACTATGAAGAAAGGAAACAAATCTAAACTAGAATATTTTTGATATGGATGTATAAAAGCTGAGTCCTTCAGAAGGCAATACCAGCTTGGCTGCATTGTCGTGTATTCTTTTATGTGGGCTTTAAAATTAGCTTGCCAGATTTCTGATGTTAGCTGTCTTCCCTCTGGCAGACGTGTGTGTTTAAACTTCATGCTGAAGTAACCATCAGTTCACCATGGTAAACAAGGCCTGTGATTTAGTGGGTTCTGTTATTTAAATTGTCCTTCTAGAACAGATTTATTGTACTGCAAAGTTTTGAGGTTTTTTGTTTATTTCTTTTAAACCCAGTGGATTTAGTTTTCCCAGAGGGAAATAAATTAAGAAAATTAAAGCAACCAAATTATTATTTCTAACACTTCCAAACATCTGTTAAATGTGTTTGGTTGTAGGTTTCCTTTTTTCATTAAACCAGGTGTACTTAAGAAGAGACTATGTGGTAAGAACTGATAGACATTGTGCTTTGTAATTTTTGAGTACTCCATGTGGCTCTTCAGAGAAAAAAATACCACTTTTAAAAGTGTTTTTTTTAATACAACAGAGATAGATATGTTGGCAAAAAGTGTCAAGGAGTTAGAAACATGCAACTAGTTGTAAAAATGAGACATAAGCATGAAATAAGGAAATATTTCTATCTTAAACCCTAAGGACAACTACCTCCTGTAAAATTAAGAAGATTCTCCATTTCTCGATGATTTTAAATCAAGAGCAGATACTGGGCTGGGTGGGAGTCCAGGCTGGTAAGATAAGTTGTTAAAACCCATCTCCTGCAAACTTCTTAACTCTCTTCCCACCACTGCGCTCTTTTCCCCAGGACCACAGCTCTGGGGATGTTTCCTGCATTGAGCCCAGTCTCAAACTCAGAATAAGGCACTGTCCCTGCCACCCTCGACACACTCACTTATCCACACCAGTGTATGGTTTCTGGAGGGCTCTGTATGACGTATGTAAAACAGAAGGGGGCAGTTCTTAATCTGAGCCCAGACTGGGCTACAGGTTGAAGAAACTCCTCAGAGCAGCTGAGGTGTATGGGCTAGACTCTGTGTGTAGGAAGGATGCTACCCTGCAGAAGGGACCACGGGGGAGAAGTGCTGGAATCATAGAATCCTTTAGGTTGGAAGGGACCTCCAAGAACATCAAGTCCAACCATTGAGCCATTAGGGCTCTAAAGTCCTCTGCTAAAACAGATCAGAATCTGTCAGGGCTGGAAGGGACCACAAGGATCCCCCAGTTCCAACCCCTCTGCCATGAGCAGGGACACCTCCCACTAGATCAGGCTGCCCAGAGCCTCATCCAGCCTGCCCTTAAAGACCCCCAGGGATGGAGCAATGCATCTTACTGCAGGACCTGTCCTGGCTGGGTCAGTGGGGAAGGGAGATGTTGACTCTGCAGCATGCGAGCATGTACTTCTGCTTACATGTATTGTTTAATATTATCTCTTTCTCAGGTCCTGTGGTGCCCAAGAAGTGGCACATCTGACAGTAAATGGATCTTATGCAAATGCAGAAGTCAGGAAAAGCTAAAATCTTTGGTTTGCAAGGGAAGAATTTGAGGATATTTATTACTGTCATAAACAAAAATGGATCATTAAAGCTGAACTGTGTTTCTCAGAAAACATATTAAAAGTGAAAAGATTATTTGTCTGGTTAATTCTTTTTCCAATTGCAGGTTCAATGAGTGAGAAGCTGCCACAACGAGAAGGTGCAGGAAAAACAGGTAAATATCTCAGCTGACCTGTAAATAGGAACTAAAGTAGCTCTGGGATACACCAGTGTGGTTTTTCCATAGGTTTCAATTAACACTATACATTCATCATGCATTATAGCTGCATACATAATATGTATACACGCATACATGCTATTCATTTTATATCTGCATTGTGAAGATTTAGTAAATTCATGAGTATAAGTGTATATCTATGTATTTGTCTACATATGCATAGACATATTTTTCTAGTGTCAGCCCTATGGACTTTCCTATTTTGTGCTGTTGGGAAGATAACTTTTCTTCCCACAGCAATACTCTGAAATATTTTCCCATACTGTTTGCTTGCCCTGGAGGACAGATTATTTTGTCTGTTTGATAAAGACAGCATTCTGCAGTCCTGAGTATCTCAGGAACTGGAGTCCTCACTTTATTTCCACAGCAATCAGTTCTTGAGTCATCCTGAACCCAGCACTTTGCTCTGTTTTGCAATTAATTCATCTGATGGCTTACATTCATGGCCAGATAATTGCTCTTGTTAGAGATAGATCATGGTGTATATCTTGTTGGCATGACAATATCTGATGTGACTCCAGCATAACTTGTAGATTCAAATGAGGGAGATGTCTGTGCTTTAAAGAAAATTAAAGCTTACACTCTCCAAACACTTAAAACAATTTTAAATTCAGATGAAAATACTAGCTGTTGCTGTCAGTTACACTGGTATAAATTAATTTTGAAGTTACTCATTTTCATGTTAATGTTAATGACTATCTGAATGGCTTACTGTAAATATTATTGAAATATTTCTTTTACAGGCACTTTTGCAGGATCGTAACATAACCAGCATATAAAGAAATTGTTGTGTTGTGTTAAAAAAATCGGTACTTCTCTAAAGGCTAATAATTACAATATACTGGAAAATTGTTCCTTCACATATTTCCAGACAAATTGTGGGTTCCACTAACCTTAGGTTATCCATTTGCTTTAGGTCAGGACTTTCATTTTCAGCTTTGAACTGAATTAACCATCTCATACAGTAAATCCATTATTTTTCTGTGCGACAGCAGAAGCTGAGCTGCTGACCCCTGAATGAACAATCACAGAACAAGGAACTTAACACAATTTATCAAGTCTCCCTTCACATCAAATACATACATGTCTAAAGTGACATGGTTGCATTTTACTCACAGCTTATTTTTATTCTCCAGCACAAGCCCACAGCATGAAGGGCCTCTGACCTTGTTCCCAGGTGGTCTCTGGCTCTTCTCAGATGTTGCTAACTTCTTCCCTCCACCCTTCTTCCAGCCAGTCACTGCCTTAGGCTCCAAATAAAGTCATGTTGTCAGAGACATCGCTACTTCTTTAGAGGCCATCGCAGAGTTGTGAACAAGATCATCTCTCCAGGTTCAAGAGCTGTGCTTTGGTTTCACAGTCTGTGTAGTAAAAATTATTTTGTAGCTCAGCTTGAAAGGACATGGCAGGAGTTCTTGAAACAACCATAAAAATCCCTGCTCATCTTTTTTTTCTGCACATTCCTGTGGACTAACCAAGGGTGACTGGATGGGAACACCTGAATTGTAACCCACCAAGCTTAGGCAGGTCATGATGTTCTTACTGCTGCAGAGGACATGCTCCAGACCTTCAAATGTGGTCTTGACGGCTCTACTCAAGGAACATCATAGACTTAGCCTGAGACAGTCTCTTTTTCCAAGATGTTCCACAGAGACTGACAGGAGAAGATGACTTGGTGGACCTTATCTGTTGCAGTTGTGCACTTTGCTTTTTTCCGAGTATTTCAATACTGAAAGAAAATTTCCAGCTGCAGATTTTGGAGGTCAGGAGCTCTGTTTACATGTTTGCAAATTTGCACGTTAAAGTGAACAGGAATAAAGCCTGAAAGATAATTCCTAAAATATCTTCCCTGGCCCCACAGTTCTTTCCTCTATTCAAGGAAAATATTCAGACTCTCTGAAAAGCACAGGTGTCAGAGATATGTTCACAGCCCTTTTTTTCTGATTCTTATCTGATTCTAAGACTATGTTTTTGGTAAGTGAACTATGACAGCAAACAGAATAGTTTGTTTAAACATAGGCATGCATGTACTGGTGTGCATATGGCAGCCAGGAAGACCTGTGCAATTAACCTAATTAACATGAGGATGAGCTGTTCTATGACTGTGACTTTCTGTTGAATGTTGTTTTGAACAATGAAATGCAATGTCTCTTCATTTTTAACACAAAAATTTTTATGAAAAGATGACACAGAGTGCAAGCAGAAAATTAATGCAAGCCTCTTTCTGCAGATCAGGAGCTGTTGTAGCTCCTCCAGTTCTGCAGTGAAGTTAATGCCTCTTAGATTATACAGATATCCTGTACCAAATGTTTGGTTCATTGATGACCAAAAACATCTTTCTTTTAAGTGGGGGACACCTGAGGTCTGTTTATGACTCAGTCATTAACCATCTGTTGAGTTTTGGGTCTTTTTAATATAAAAAAATTGATAAACTGTTTTAAATGCTGCTTGAACAAAATTCAAGATGCTAATTTTGTTTGGGCTGATAATCAGTAAAGTTGCAGCATGATATCTGAATTTTAGACAATAATAGAAAGTCAAATGTGTCACAAACTGAAACTGTGTACCAAAAGATGATTAGAAAAATGTCATTTAAACCCAAAATGGAGTTTCTGGCTGGGTTCTTGGTTTTTATCTATCTACTGTAAGCCACCCTCTGAAACTCTGTGTTTTCTGAACCACATACTGATTGGTGATGTACATGTACATCTTAATTCTCAGTACACTAGGGTACTTGACACCTTTCTGAAATTAATCAATGATCTGATTTCACCACCCAGAGGACACCATAAAAATGCTGGCAAGACTAATGAGAAGTGGCAGTCTATTATGGCATTGGAACGAAGCATCCTATTATTGCATGGACATGAAGAATATACATTCTTAAAAATAAGTCTCCTTATGCTTTTTATAAAACATTTTGCATGGAAAATAAGTTTTTATGGCTGCTGTTTTGTTTTTGTGAAAAGCATGGAGATTAGTGCTACATGGCTGCAAATTTGATTCTACCTGCTATTAGTATTTGCTTGTTATCTGTATTTTGGTATGTGTATGTGAACAAGGCTGTGGCATGCAGAGACAAAGGTCCTAGTAACTCCAAATCCTCTGCATGATTTGCATAAAGACAATACAGATTTAAAAAAAAAAAAAAAGTGATAGTAACAACAAAAAAAGAACAGGAGGAGGCTACCCTGAATTCCAGTTGCAAGAAGAAATGGAAACAGATATTTTCTGTTTGAATAATTACAACAAACAGTGGTAATTTTAAAACTGTTCACTGTTACCCTGGTAGGGCTACATGCAAGAGGAAGCTTCAGTTACCTTTGGTTCTAACTTCTGTGAAAATACCAGAAAAACAATCTGGAAAATATGTTGGTCTAAGATCCAGCTGCAAAACTGCAAGAAATGCCAATAAAGCCCTTGCATGGTAGATGCTAGATACTGTGGGACACTCTTGGTCTTGGAGTTAGCTCAATGCTACAGGAAATGGCAATGACTGGAAAATATGTGCTAGAAAGGCCTACTAAGTCATATTTACCTGATACCTGCAATAATTTTAAATAATAAAAATGTAATAAGGTAAAAGTTGGTCTTAGGGTACTGCTCTTTCTCTCAGAATGCTAACAAATATTTTTTTGCATTGAATTTTTCTTTTCCAGCACTATTTCCACAGTGTTTTACTAAATCTGAAGTTACTCATGCCTCTTATCATTTTTGTAAATTTTCCTCCCTCTTTTCTTGCATTAATGGTTGGTATTAGATGGATGGAGATGGCTGACCAGAGGATAAGAATTACACAAACAACATTCTAGTTCCTTAATCTGTGAATCTTGCTTATAAAATCAACCTGACTGTTAAATAAATCTCGCTGTGCCAGTGGACACTTTTCTTTCATTTTAAGGTGTCAATATGACTGCAACCACTTCTTCACCCCAGAATGCTTTTGCTTTCACAGGTCTTACGCTGTCTATACATTTATCTAATTACTTCTTTAACAATGCTGATTTGATTATGATTTATAGATACCGATGTGCAGCGTTAAAATGAAGAATTACTGTCCAGGGAGCAACCTGATTACTTCATACCTCATCACAGACCCTGCAATCATTTCATCAGCCATAACCTCAAAAGCCATCCATTTATAATCAGTAGTCTGTAGATACAATACATCTGTGTTGTACCTATAAATAATAGGTAGCACCTATTATTTACCTATCAATGATGTTTAAATTATTGTTTGTTTACTGGCCGGGGCTATGTGCAAATCATTAGTATCAATCATGTCTGTACACTTATTTAGCTTACTCTCATAATTGTAGTCTCCTTGCAAATCTTTTCCATTCTGAATTCAGATGATGCCTCAGCGCCTGCACTGGAGACTCAGCCTCAAGGTGATGAAGAAGGTGAGCATTTATAGGAACTTCACAGTGCAGTATTCAACTATGCAGTGTGGACTGTATACCACAACATCAAATGCTGCCTTAAGAGCTAGCACAACTGCTGGGGCAGTTGCAATAGATTGCAATAAATTGGAAGCATCTATACCTTTTTCCAGATAAAGACAGAAAATACTCACAAGCAACAAATTTCATGTGATAGTTTTGGGATGACGCTGTAGCTGTGGAGTCCAGCATTAGCATTTTTAATTATCAGGGCATATACAAGGTTTAAACTTGAGTCAGGGTGCAGATTAAAAATGTATGGCCAAATAAGGAAGTTAAAGGGTGAATTCTGTCCTCAGTATATTGCCTAGCTATATTTGGGTTGATGTTTTCTCAGGCTTATTTGCCTCTGGGGAATTCTTTGTTAGCAGGAATCTTAAGGCCTACCTGCAGTGATGGGCCTGTATTGTGGCTGCCTTATCACTCACTACAGATCTCACAGCATCTGATCCGAAGTTATTACATATTTTGGGTCCGCACTGGAATATTTTTATTCTGTTTAAATATAATTTAATCTAAAAGTGTTTCTTTCAGCCTTTTGTATGAATGGGGTAAAAAAGGAAGTATTCATGCCTTTTCATGAATCAAAGTTTTAACTGTCCTAGTAAACAAGTAGGCCCTTTTATTTTTTTAGATCCGTGTATCTTTAATACTAATGATTTACTATTCAGATACTAGTAACTTTTAAAAATGTCGTAATATTTTAAAACTTTTCTTTTTCCCCCTAGATATAGCTTCTCGTTACCCTACGTTATGGACTGAGCAAGTGAAGAGTAGACAAAACAAAACCAATAAAAGCTCAGGTAAGAAACTGAGGTTATGCTTACTTTGCAAAGTTCTTGTGAAGACATGCATTATCCATTTAAGTGAAAACCATTTTAATAACTGTTATGCTTCCACTCTCATCATATGATAGCAACTTAATGATTTGTGTTATGGTTTAGTAGGCTTATGCATCACACATTCCTTTTATATGGAAGCATTTTTGGCCAGGTTTTACTAGATGTAAATTGATATTACTCTACTAGTCTCTGGCTTACTGATGATCTGTCAGTGGATCTGTTATTTATTATTTGCATCCTCTGCCTCCTTGTTATCTACTTTTATTTTGTTTGTTTGTAGTTTTTGTTTGTTTGTTTGTTTGTTTGTTTGTTTGTTTGTTTTGAGGTGATGTGTAGTAAGAAGGTGCTTGGAAAATGATAGTGTGGGTTACACAATTTTGGCAGTGAATCTTAGGAGGCAAACCTGAACACTTCTACCAGAAACCAGTTGTCAGTTAACAGGAAATTGGAAGGACAATGTTACCTACTTTTTGCTACATCACTTGTTATTTACAAACTGATCACCAGTTTAGTGTGAATTGATTATGTTGCCTTTTTTATAATGGCTGAATTTTGGCTCTACTTTTTTTACAACTCTTCAGAATTGAGCTTTGTAAAGGGGAACTAGGAATGTCAGGTGAACGTCCTGAGACTGAAGCCTCTAAAATATTCATATGCATTCATTGTTTTAGTGGAGTTTAAGTTTTGATGCCTTGAAAGGAAACATCAATAATACAGGCTGTGATTCAGTAAATGATCCAAAAGCACACTTCAGATGCAGTGGAAATTGAGGTCATGCTTGACATTAGTTCTGTGCTTAAGTATTTTACTGAATTGGGGCCCAAAAGAATTTAAAAAGACAAGCAATCATCATAAGAAAAACAGGCATGTCCTTACTAAGAGGTTTACAGATTCCTTTATATATGCTATTTTTGACATCAAAGCAATAATTATTAATACTTTTCCTCTCCTTGGTTCTTCAGTAGGCACTTAAGGGAAGGACCTTAAACAAAGTGTAGAGAAGAGTTTGAAGCAAACACTTTCCTTACTGGAGATTCATTTTGTCATTTCTTTAGTTAATGTTAGCAAGAACAGAATTCCTTTGGGATTTATTGTGTAAAATAAGTATCTAGAAATATGTCGCTTTTAGGAGTGTTTATTTAATTTTTACAGTGTTTGAGGCTGGATCTAAAGCAAGAAGTTTTCAGTGCAGCTGCTGGAAGCCAAAGCTTTGGCAGATATACACAAAAAACGCTAGAAAAATGGTGGGTTTATTACTAGGAATTCGTAACCTCCAGATCATTTAAAGACATATTTATAAAAGTAGAGAATCCAGATGTGTGGTCTACCTGTCTTGTGACTGCTAGCTCACGGTGCATTAACAGCAAAAGCATGATTGTGTTGGACTTGCTGACAGCAGGACTTGTTCATAACTGCACAATGTACAGGGGATCTCTGTGGAGCTAGCAGATGCTACAGTCTGTGGTGCCATACCTGGACTAGCAGAAGTAAGTCAGCAGACACTATGTAGCCCACCTTGCTTTAATTTGTAGGTATACCTGATGTGGCAGAAGGGACAACTGCTCTCTCTGCTGTAACTTCACTTGTATATATAATAGGATATAATCACTCAAGATGACTCTGGGTGCTAAAAAACGGTGTCTTCACCAGTTGTGCTGGCAATCTCTCTCTTCCAGACTCGAAAGGACAATGTGTCTGTGACTTTATATACTTGTAAGTTATTTTGATGGCTGAGCCTCACTGATAATCAGGAAACAAGTCTTTTAAGGTCTTGAAAAAAATAGGTTTCATTTTTCCCTTATTACCTCTCAGAGCACCCACAGAGAATGAACTCTGTGCTCCTATGTGTATAGAATAGGAAGGACCTTGTGACTGAATCCACTGGATTGTAAACTAACCACCTTTGGACACCCAGGCTTCAATGTAAGGGATAAATACAGTTGTCTTATTTACTCAGTTTGCTTAGCAAACTCTGATTCAGACTTGGTCATGAAAACACCAGAAAGCCTATTGAAATGTATTTGCCTGAGTAAAATGAGGAGGATTTATGTCTGCATATGAACTGTGTTTATAAAACAAAGGATGTAACCAAATTTATTCATAATGGGCTAAATTTTCCTTTGTTGTTCTATGGTTGTGCAAGTGCTTTCAAAGAAATTATTCAAGTTAAAATAACAGTATGACCTAGCCCTTCTTGTAGAAAATAACCAAAGAAATATAGTAATTATAGAAATTTCAGGCAAGCTCTAAATATCCTACTTAAAAGCTGATAATTTAGTCTGTAGTGCATTTACTTTTTCTAGTTTATACCTGAATATATGTCCTAATATGTCGTGGTCAACAAGTCATGGTTATAAAGAAGCTTGTCTTGACCTGAGAAACCAGTATCCTTAGGGGAATGTTTTTGTGAGTTAAGGATCACAAGTGGATACATTAAATGTGGTGTACTCATCATGGTTTGCTTTTGCTGCTCTGCAAATGACCTGCCAATTACAATTAGCCAGTAAAATCGGAATAAGCTTTTAGGTTTTGGTAGATAGAAAATAATGGCCTGGGAAATTCTAGTTTATATTAGTTATCCAGTGTTTTCATTTGATTAAATCAGACTACATTAATTTAATAAAGAGTAATGACATTTGGGAGACTTACAGATGCAGGGCATGAGATTACTGGATTACGTATCCGTGCTCTATAATGACTTTTAGTACATATGTGGTTTTTGTTGGTTCAGAGAAATAGGCCTTTGCTGCTCACTAAAGGCATTTGTATTATTATTATATATTATATTAGCTCTGGATGACAAAATATTTCTGCTGTCAAAAACCCCAACGACATTGGGACATATAACAGTAGATCTGTTTAGAGTGGTGGATTTGTGTAGAAACATCTCCATTTTAGCTCTTTTTCTATGTTGAAGGTGATTTTCAGATGTTTTTAAAAGACTTTTTCTTTCCAGAATTAGAAAAAGAGTATGCATCTGGTTGCTAAAATAATATAGTGTTTGCTGAGATTGTTTTATGTATATGCCTCGGTGCCTTCACAGTTATTTTGCAAATTTTTTGTTTCTTCTGGATTTCTTTTTACACCCACACCCCTCATTTCTTCCTCCCTTTCACAGAAAATATTGTGTTTCCCTCATAAGATTGATTAAAATAAGAATGACAGCGACAGCTATCAAAAATAAACAGAAATGCATTGAAAACACCAAACATGGGACTATTGAGGCTCCGAGGTGACGTTACTGTGGCCTTCCAGTATCTTAGGGGGGCCTACAAGAAAGCTGGGGAGGGACTTTTTAGGATATCGAGTAACAACAGGACTGGGGGGAATGGGGCAAAGCTGGCAGTGGGCAGATTCAGGCTGGATGTGAGGAAGAAGTTCTTCCCCATGAGAGTGGTGAGACCCTGGAATGGGTTGCCCAGGGAGGTGGTTGAGGCCCCATCCCTGGGGGTCTTTAAGGCCAGGCTGGATGAGGCTCTGGGCAGCCTGATCTAGTGGGAGGTGTCCCTGCTCATGGCAGAGGGGTTGGAACTGGGGGATCCTTGTGGTCCCTTCCAACCCTGACAGATTCTGATCTGTTTTAGCAGAGGACTTTAGAGCCCTAATGGCTCAATGGTTGGACTTGATGATCTTGGAGGTCCCTTCCAACCTAAAGGATTGTATGATTAAGACATCAAAATGTAGCAGCCAAACTCCTGCTGTATGTCCTCAGTAGTTGCCAGTTAGTGTACTTCAGGACTAGATGCAGCCTTGATGTGGGTGGTGAACACTACATCACAGTGCAGGTCTTTCCCATCACCTCACTGGGAAAATACAGCACCGTGAGGAGAGCTTAGGCTGGACTGTAGATCTCAGGTTCTCATTGCTACATCTGCTCTACCAGTAGTTTATATCCTTGTGGGATTCTTGGGAACTAGATGTAACTTTTTCCAGAGGAGATATGTCCTTTTTTGAGTTTTGGTATAGGCAAAGGTAGGGTATTTTAATGCTTTTCACAATGGCCAGTGAAGCTTACGATTCATTTTATTAGCTTGAATTTAAGAGCCAAATTTTTCTAATAGTCTGTTGTGGGAGCAGTTCCATGTAAAATAAATGGGATGAGTTGAACTGATAATACTGTTAACATTCAAAAAATTCATAAAGTACTGAGTACTTTGGAAGCACAGTCTGTACACCACAAAAAAACTTTATTAATTTTGCAAATGCAGGATGCAAAAAATCCATAATCTTGAATATACTTACATATGTATTTAAGGTCTTCAGAGAGTCTCATAATAATATAATTTAAGTTAAAAGAGAAAGGGTTAAATAATGTATCATTGACTAAGACACAGAGCATGTTCATGCATTTGGTATTCAGTTCTATTCTTTTATTATTAATACTTCTGTATTCTATTTTCTTAAAGATTGCATAGTATGGTGTTATTAGCACTAATAATTTATAAGTTCATAGATCCATTGTGAAGTTTAATGAACATTGTAAAATGATTGAAAGATTGATGTTTGTTTTGTTCATAATTCGGTATGACTGGCAAAACAGACGACAGGAAGAAATTGTCACATTTCATTGTACTTTACTGAACTTCACTTTGATTCGTGTGTTAAATTTTAAACACATGAAATGAGTGGGTAGAAATTTAGGGCCCCTGGCAGTCAATGGCAAAACTCCCAGACAGTGTTTGAACAACTATTCTTACTCCAACTCTATGTTACTAGTTCACCCAGTAGTTGGCATTTCATCTGGACCAGGCACAGACATATGATGTGGTGCTTGTGCCAGCTTCATGCTTTCTGCCAGCATTATGCTTCTATACTTCAAGCAGGTGCTATAGGACAAGCCATACATGATCTGGCATAAAAGAGGGTGAAGTCAGAGGAAACCCTGTTCTGGCATGAAGCCTACTGAAGCAGGGTCTGTATGTCAAAATTCTTCATGCATCTATGCCGAAAGTAGTGGATCA